GTTGGAGCAAACTTGACATGCTTTACCACAACGTGAAGGCCACGACGACTGGCACTTGTTAGTGAGAGGGCGAGCAGTCCAGGAGGAGATCAGAGCTCCAGGCAGGTACCAGGCAGGTACCAGGCAGGCATCAAGAGCCTTCTGCTGCTTTAACTTGTGTTGTGGCCCTGCCGTCATTAGAGTGTGTGCATATGGAGACTCCTCAGTTCCCTGTGAGGCCCTGGAGAGCCTGAGGAGCAGGGACTGATCCCACTCCTCTTTGGCCCCCCAGCACAAGGTAGTCGCAGCGCCTCAAACATACAAGCTCACAAATGTAGAGCTGTGGGAGAGCTGTTTGAGATTTTTTAGAAAAGCAGAACAATAGTAAGATTAATCTGTTTGGAAATACCAACTACTGAGAGCTCCCTGAATTTTAATTTCTTGCTTGTCATCATTTGGGTAACCATTTTATGGCGTATTAAGGGAAAGTGATTTGTGGCAGTATGTGAATCAAAAAGCTGCAAGTCAGATGATAAAACAAAATTGTTGTCTGCGGTCCCTGGTGGGATTTTCTTTAACACTGCTATCATAATCAGGTTTGTTTCTAACTTAAAAAAAAAAAAAAATGAGCAATAGCCCTTGGGTGTTTATTAGATGAAAATTTTTCCTAACAGTTTACACTATTTTGAAAAACAAAGTGGAGATAATGTACATTCTATTATTGCAAGCAAGTATTTGTAGAGGGACTATTATGTGCCAGAAGCTTAGCTCCTGCAAGCCCCACTCCACTTGACTGAGGCTGAGGCTGGTGCTTTTATCATTTCCATTTCGGAGATAGGAAACTCAGCCACAGGAGGGGGCTATGACCCCAGGCCTCTGGCTCCAGAGGCTACATTCTTAAATACCGGTTACATCCCTCGCTTCCCCAAGGAAGGGGTAGAACCAGGAATTAAACAAAAGTCTCTCAGGAAAATGTTGGAGAGTCTATGTATGGTATTTAAAGGTATTTAAAATTTCAACTCTACAAATCCTGGTAATTTTTTTCTCTCTGTAGTTACTGCCTGATTAAAGATCATCAAAAAATCCCTTGTAAAATATACTTTTGATGGAGCAAAAGGGGGTGGGGCTATGAAGGCATACCTTTCCTGAAATTATCTGTTAAAAAATAATTAGCTTGGTTTCTCACATTATGATCAGAAAAAGAAAATGCTGCAGCTTTTGTCACTGATGGATGGGATAAAATCTTTTGAATTTAGATAATTTATTTATTTTTTACATTTGAACGGCCTTCCAAGAGGCCAATTTGTGATGTAATCTCCACAAACATTTATTTATTTTTTTGTCTCTGATTTGAAGGAGTCTGGCAATGTCTCTGCTTCAGACTGGTGGTTTGTATATTTAACCAGTCAATGCTAAATTACTTTCAATAAAATAAATTCTGGCTGTCACTATCATTGAAGATAACAGTGTAAGATATATATATTCTTTGCCTGATTCAGTTGCCTGAGATGTTTTAGATCAGTTCGAGGAAAATAAATGGAATAAGTAAAATCAACACATGAAAATAAATACCTTCATTTTTAATTTGTTCTATATGTACAGTACTCCCATCCATTAGTTATTCTATTTAAATTACAATGAATTGGCACAGGAGGATGGATATCTTTTGGGATTGACTCTGATGTGTTGGTGAAACTGAAGTCCAGAAATGAAAAATATTATTGAGTTCTTATTCAGTTCTCTTATCAATTCACTGGACAGCATGTAGATAAATTATATCGCATCTTATTTGTTTGTCCTGCTACTGATATAAGAAAGTGTCTTAGTCTGTTCAGGCTGCTATAACAAAACGCCATAGACTGGGTGACTTATAAACAACAGAAATTTATTTCTCATAGTTCTGGAGTCTGGGAAGTCCAAAATCAAGGTGCCGGGAGATTGGTGTCTGATGAGGGCCAACTTTCTGGTTCATAGAAAGATGTCTTTTTGCTACATCCTCACATAGTGGAAGGGGAAAAGGAAGTCTCTGGGTTTTTAGTTTTTATCTGTAAAATGGGATCTGTAGGACTGGCCTTAGCTTGCTTCCCTTTAGACCTCAGAATGGAAACTTACTTCAGAAGAATTCAGAGTCACCAGAGCATTTATGGTTTTTGGTTTTGTTTTGTTTTTTTGAGAGAGAGAGAGAGAGCATGCATGCATGCAAGCAAGCATGGGCAAGAGGGATTGGAACTCGATCCCAGGACCCCAGGATCATGACCTGAGCTGAAGGTAGACGCTTAACTGACTGAGCCACCCAGACACCCCAGAGCATTTATGTTCTTTTTTTTTTTTTTTTAAGATTTTATTTATTCATTTGACAGAGACAGAGAGGGAATAAGCAGGGGGAGCAGCAGAGACAGAGGCAGAAGTAGGCTCCCCACTGAGCAGGAAGCCCAGTGTGGGACTCGATCCCAGGACGCTGGGATTGTGACCTGAGCCAAAGGCAGCCGCTTAATGACTGAGCCACCCAGGCGTCTCAGGTGCATTTATGTCCTTAATGCTGCAGTAGAACCTGAGAACATCCAGTTGCAGAGTCTATATAGAGTCTCAGGAAGTGAGGAAAGGAGTAGTTTCTGATCTCTATTTTTCCTAATATTGTGCAATTGCTGTAGTTTGTTCTGGGTTCTTAAAAATGTTAAATGGGTCTTTAGCCTTGAAATAAGCAGACTTTTACATAGAGTTTATAAATTAGGTACAGACTTAAAGCAAATCAGAGGACACCCTCCCCCACCACACACACACAAATCACTTACCATTTTGAAAAAAAATCAGTTAAATTGAGTCAGCCAGATAATTGGTCCCTCAATACAATCAATTTCTTTAAACACTGAATTAAGAGTTGTTCTGGTCGAAACTAATTTTGCATGTAGACACTAAATATGTGGTACTTATGTTTTCTTAAATCCTAAAAAAACCTAAATACTCTAAAAAAATGGAACACTCACCACTTCTTGCTCAGCTGTATGGACGTTAACTGTTGCCTTTCTAGATAAATTATTTTACGTAGACCAAGAATGCTTTCATTTGTTTGTTTTCTGGTATCATATAAATTTCCAGTAATTTCTCATGAAATTATGTTTGAATAAGAAACCCCATTTCCATGCTTGTTTAATCTGATGACAACCTCTCGGTAAAACTGCTTTTTAGTGCTCCATAAATCAAAATTACCTTGGCAGCTAACATAATTTCACACTATTGGTGGCTCACAACTTACCCAGCTTCTTCCTTGTATTATACTGAACAAAATGAATGAATTAAAGTCCTTTTCTTTTTCTCCTCCACATGTTGCTTCCATCACAGCTTTGAGAGAGTGTGTGTGCACGTATGTACACTCTAAATAACCTAATCTAGGTTGTAATAGTTAATGTATGTGTCAATGTGGCTGAGCCACTGTACCTAGTATGAGGTCAAACATTATTCCGGATGTCTCTGTGATGGTGTTTTTGGATGAACTTAGCATTTAAATTGGAGGACTTTGAGCAAAGCATATGGCCCTCCATAATGTGAATGGGACCCGTCCAATAAATTGAAGGCTTAAATAGAACAAAAAACTGACCTTCCATGAGCAAGAGGGAATTCTGCCAACAGATGGCCTTAGGATTCAAACCACACAATCAGCTCTTTGCTAGAGTTCTGGCCTGATGACCTTCAGACTTGCGCTCCAGCATTGGTTCTTCTCTGGTCTCCAGCCTGCTGGCCTACCCTGCAGCTTTTGGACTCGCCAGACTCCATAATCACAGGAGCCAATTCCTTACAATAAATCTGTTTCTCGGCATATACACATTCTATTGATTCTGATTCTCTGGAGAATGCTGATCAATACTTGGGAATTCTCTAATTTTTTAATTAAATGATCAAAGAATGGAACTTTGTGGTAGCAAATGCATACTATTGTTGAAACCCTGAGATGGATTCATGTACAATCTTAACTTTCTTACTGCAAACCCAAATGATTTATCTTCTTTCTTTTGCCCATTCAGTTGTGTTTTGATTTAAAAATCTCTGTGTATGTATTGGAAATGGATAATAGTTGAGTGCATAAATTATGCCCCAGCCTCAAATTTCTCACTGCAAAGGCCTCTAGGGCAGGGGATAGGAAGTGGGGAATACTGCGTAACTGCCAGTGTCCTCTTGAAGAGGAAAGTGCTGGGCTGAAGTCTTCACATTGCAGGTTCTTCATATTTGATTTTTCTGACATACCTGCTGCTGAAAAAGTGCTTAGGACAATTGTAAAACCAAATATAGTCCACATTTCTTTAGAGTCAATTTTTCAGTTTTATTGGAAAACAGTAATAAATGTCCCTGGCCAGAAAGTTAAAAATGTTGTTTCAAATTCAAATAAATATCAATATATTATGGACTATAACGCAAAACTTGCACAAATTTGACAAAACTCCTAAGGAGGTCTCCACTTACAGATGAATGTTTCCAGTGGGTTCCTACTCATCATCTACCCCCAAATAGAGTTAAGATGGTATTCTCTACTGCACTCAGCAATACACTTTTGATAGAAAAGTTTCAAAAGCATGATCTTAAAATAGGCTGGCTTTAAAAAATGAAAAGTATTGAAGAAAAAGGAGAGGACCAACTCCATTTGAGAGCTCCCTCTTCCTTTAATTAAAAAGAGAATGCTTTCAAAAAGCAGACAATAGAAAGTGAGCTATCAACAGTGAGTTTTAATGGCACTACTTTTTTGTTTTTTATTTCCTTGTCCATAAAAGCCCCTTTTTGGTAAATGTTATTACTATAGTCATTATTTAAATTCTCATTTTAAGAGCTACAATTTATTGAGAACTTCTAATTCTAGGTCTCTACTTGGGTTTTCATATTTACTCCTTTCCACAGCTCCACGAGACGGACATGTTAAATAATCTTGTAAATGGCATGGATTTGCCTCCAGGTCTCCAAAGCCCATGGTTTGGGTCCATTGCCATGTTGACTCCCACTGTTTTTGCTCTCCTGGTTTAACCATCAAAGCACATTTACTGGGCAGTGGATATGTCAGAAGTGAAGGCATTCACATTCAGATAATACTGTGCTGTTGTTTTCAAAGCAGTCCATGTTTCATGAACCTGCAACAAAAGAAACTTGAAGTCATGATCTTGGAGTATGGAGAGCACATGCTATATCAGTTATTCAGGTTATTGTACAGATAATCCTAAAAGACTGAGAGAAGTAGAGTGGAAGAATAATACCCAATAAGGTTTGGTTAACATACTTTTAGTGACCTGTATACTTCAATGCTTAAATGTTTTATGGTATTTGGGGGCCACTGTATGAACCAATGTGGTAGTCTCCTGTTACATTGTAGTATCTGTTACTTGATCATAGCACTGGTCTACAATTAGAGGCAGGAGTGTACTTGAAAATTTCAGTATTCCCTAAAGGAGACACAGTCTACCCACTTATATAATATTTAATTTGCCAAATAAACAAATGTCTGGTTTTAATACCTCTAAATGATGCCTTTTGGAGAAAAACATACATAAAACTTGATGCATTATTCAAGCCGGTGGTTTTCATCGCAAATGCTAACCAGAAACGAGCCAATCCTGGTAGACCAGTTAAAACTCAGCCAGGCAGAGTAAGGATAGGACCCAGGCCCCAGAAAAACAAGGACATTCCATTTTTTTTAGTGATTTTATACAACCCTCTAGCCTGGTGATAGAGCCTGATACACGTGTGAAGAGATAAAGGACAAACAAGTGAAGGGATTAATTAATTTGTTATACATTTTTGTTTTCTAAATTGCTGAATTTTAAGAGGGAAATCATGAATAATTGAAATCCTCAGACAATTCAGCAATTTTATTTGGCCTGGAGTTTCTTCCATCAAAAAAGTAAACATGGAATAAAACTGGCTAAGGCACATTTCTTCTTTATTTCTCTTGGAGTGAGACTTCCAAATGAATAGAAAAGTGTACAAAAGGCAAGCAAATGAAGGAATGACATTAAAGTTTTGCATAATTATCCCAGAGGAAAATAAGCTGTTGAATAACTGAAAGGGAACGAAAATGTGACCATGATCCATTCATCCACCCACCCAAACATGCAATAATCTACTGAGATTTGACTGAGTAACAGTCATTTTGATAGTTTCTGAGAATAATGACCTTGATGGATAAGACATGCACCTTACGTCTGTAGCCTAGGTAGGGGAGGTTGGGTGCACAAAGCAACTAATTCCAGGGTGACATTTAGAGAGCTATTCACATGTGAATGGCATGCAAAGGGGAGAAAAGAAAGAAGGACAAATGTCATCCAGGAAAGAAGGGAAAAGTTTCAAAAAGGAGGGAACATTTGATTTTAGTCTTGAAGGAAAAGGTGGAGTTTACCAGACAAAAGCCACTTTATGGGGAGGAAATGGCAGCTATAGCTCAGGGTGGCTAGAGAGAAAAAACTCGTGGGTTGGGCTGGTACTGGGTTGATGCCTGCTGATGCAGTGCCTACTCAGCAAGATAGATGGTGCATTGTTTCTAATGCAAATACCTGATCAGCCAGCGAGTTGCCCCACATATTTGGATTCTGATCTGGGTCCCAGTAATCCTGCAAATATATACGTCTTTTGAGATGTAGGAACTGGTTTGCTGGGTCCTCCAACAAAAATGGCGCTCCCAACGCTCCTGTAATTCAGAGTCCAAGAGCACAGCATCTTTTAAGGCAGTAGTTTACATCTCAGTGTTTATCTTCTTAAAGAGACACAGCTGTGGTTTTGGGAGGTTGGGGGCCTGAGAAGGGAGCCCTGAGAAAGCTATGCGCCAAGGGAGATGACCATTCCTCAGCCTTCCCCCATCACTGAGCTATCACCACCCTATGTGTCCTGCATATAGTGCAGCATGAAAGCCATATGCTGGATGGAAAAGATTTTTAGAGCCTCCTGTACCTGCACAGGAGCCCACAGACCGGGATTCAAATTGCAGCTCTATCACTTTTCTGGACAAGTTGCTTAATTTCTCCAAGCTGCAGTTTTCTTGTATGTAAAAAGTTATAATAATAACGCAGTAACACAATAATATAGGATTACTGTAAGGGTTGGGTGTATTAATGGCTATAAACCATCTGGCTCAAACCAGGCAGTCAACAATCTTATTCTTCCTTTCCTAGCCTTCCAAAAGAGAACATATCTTTCAGTTTGAAGTAGACTGCTTCCAAATCTGGCACTGTGGTGTAAATTGTTAGTATTGATAGATCTATCACTGAATTGAAGAAGTTTGCATTTTGTACTCCTTCCCAGTCCAGGATTAAGGGGGAAAAAAAAAGATGATTGTTTTTAAAATCCAGACTGTTTTAGTATCTTGAATTTTAACAGTCTATATTATATTTCATTTCCAAATAAAACACAATCACATTCAGAGTTGTAATTTGAATCAATATCAAGGAAGAACACACTCCTGACCTATTTGTGGTAACAATACAATCTGTTCATTGCTTGTGATAAAGAAGCATTTATTACAAATGTTATGTTAAGTACTCTATTGCTTCATCATTAACAAGACTCTATTGACCAGAGTTATAGTGAACTATAAGATATGAAACCTCTCCTCTGTAGCGGAGGAGGGAGAGGGGTACAAGATTCAAAGTAAAACAAGGCAACATAGGATTTGATTGTGCTAAGGGAGTTTAAGAGAAGGTATCCTTATCGAACTTCGGGGCTCTGGGGCACAAACAGACATTTTCATGGTCAGGAAAATTGCTGAATCTATTCCTTAAAGAAAAGATTAAATTTAGCAGGATAGGAGAAGGAGCAAAACTTTACATTTTAAGCTGAAGGAATGATGTGGCACTGGGAATCTTTAAAATGGATGTAAGAAGACAATGGTTAGAGGGAGTTAGATTATTTGTGCATGTGTGTGTGTATTGATGACACACACAAATAATAATGATAACTAACATTTATTGAGCATTGCACTAAAAGATACTTTACCTGAACAACCTTATATAATACAACAAACCTAAGAAGTAGCACTGTCAATCACCTCATTTTGCAGAAAAGGTAACTACATCACACAAAAGTTAAATAATATGTTCAAGGCCACATAGCTAGTAGGAAACGGAGATGAAATTCTCCCCTTAAAGCCACTGTGCAATATTATGACTAAGAGACAGGAATGCTTGGGGCCAAAGAAAAGTAATAATAATAATAAAAAGCCTTATGCATTTATAAAAAAGAAACAATCATTACTTACACATTCCTTATGATCTCATGCTTTTCCAAGCTTGACCTTGAGCACTAAGCAGGGTTCTAGTTATTAGCTCTATTACTTCTAGTTTAATTTGTTACCCCATTAAGTTCTGGTTCTAACTGCCTACCTATTGAAAATGACAACCTCTGTGGATATTATACATCAATCAGGCTGTCTCTGGGTGCAAAATATTACTAGTGATGAAGATAAAAAAATGGCTCAGACACATTATCTATTAATAGGATATTAGCAATTTTAGTTATTCATGATTTAAAAATAAAATATAGAAGTCAACTTTTCAGTAGATATTAGTAACAGATGATAGTAGTAATATTGGCCTGCTTCTGGTCATCTAATTCAATACAATCTAACCAGCATGCCTGTGGAAGCCATCCTCCAATATGTCCCCCAAAGACCACTGCCTTCTTGGTATTCAGATCCCCTGTGGTCTTCTTTCGTTTAGGAGGGTGGACCTGTGTAGCCACAGGATACTGTGGAAATGACAGTGTGTGCTTTCTGTGGCGAGCACATAAAATGCATTATAGCTTCTGTCTCGCACCTCTCTTGGATCACTTGCTCTAATGGAAACAGCTGCCATGTTGGGAGGACGCTCAAGCAGCCCTGAAGAGAGGCCCGTCTGTCAAGGAACTGAAGCCTCCCACCAACAGCCACACAAACGAACCACCTGGGAACCTAATGGTTTCGTTCCAGTCAAGCCTTCAATCACAATAGCCCTCACTGACATCTTTACTGTAATCTCATGAGAGTTCCTGAGTCAGAGTCACTGACCTAAGCCACTCCCAAATTCCTCAGAAACTGTAAGATGATAAATGTTTCTTGTTTTAAATTGCTATGGTTTGGGGAAATTGTTAGGTCATAGTAGATAACTAATACGATGCATTATGAGTGCCTACTGATGTCAGGATAAACTGCTAATCACCAGAGCTGAGACCCAGGTGAAGCTAAGTGAGTCCACAAATAGAAGAAGAAACTTGCTCTCAAGCTTACACAAATTCTGTGCCATAAGATCTCCACTTGCCTCACCCTTGTCCCTGCTTGGATAATCATCGTTGCATAGCAAGATAAACAAAAAACAACCCTTGCCGCTAAGGAACTCATATTGTATTCAGAGTTCATAAATAATGATAAAGAAACATACTGTGACCAGACCGTTTGAAGGGGAAGTGATTAATTCTGATACTGGCGTGGAGGGATCACAGAGAAATTGGTTTTGAGTTGAGCTTCCAAGGTTATGGGCTGTTTCCACAGTGAAGAAGAAGGGAGCAGAAACAAAGAGCATGTACTCCAGGCTGAGGAAAACTGGAGAGCCCAGGAACAGAGGAGCAAAGTCAGGTTCAGGTTCAGTGACCCCCACTTTGCCAATGTGATTGCAGGGTAGGGCTGAGGTGTGGATGTGCTCAGAGAATGTCGGGGGATTATTACTGTCATACCAAGGAGTTTGGACTTTATTCTTCAAATCATTAATATTTCTGAACAAGAAAATTATAGGACCAGATTTACTTAAAATTTTTTTGTTTGATTATGATTTAAAATATGCATAATGTAAAGCCATTTTAACTATTTTTAAGTGTACAATTCAGTAACATCAAGCACATTCACAGTGTTGTACAATCATCATCACTATCTCAAGAATTTTTTCATCTCCCGAAATAGAAACTCGGTACCCTTCAACAATTCCCATTACTCTCTCCTCCAGCCCTTGGTCACCACCATTAGCTTTCTGTCTCTATGCATTTGCTTATTGTAGGTACCCCATCTAAGAGGAATCATGCACTATTTGTCCCTTTGTGTCTAATTTATTTCACTTAGTAGAATATCTTCAAGGTATACATGTTGAAGTATATATCAGCTTTGCATTCCTTTTTAAGACCAAATAATATTTTGTACATATATGCCAACATTTTGTTTATCCATTCACAGATACTTTTGGAAACTCCTTTGTCAGTGGTGTTGGAAGGCAGATTGTAAAAGGAAGAGAGAGTGAGAGACACAGGTTGGAGCCTCTTCTAGTGGTCCAGAGGACAGATAAGTAGGGCCTGGATCAGATGAGTGACACCAGGAATGGTAAGACAGGGCTGGTTGGAACAGAACAGGGAACTCATTTGTTTGGGCTCACTGGTGTGCACTGACCAGCATTGAAGTTCTGGTTTTAACTGAGATGTGTTCATAGGAAACTTCTCAGATTTCTCTTCATTCTCTTTGAAAAGGTGTCTGTTACAGTGTTACAAGTTTAATGTGTTCTTCTTCTGTTTATTTTATTATTTTTAAAAGATTTTATTTATTTATTTGACAAAGAGAGAGAGAGTACAAGTAAGCAGAGCCACAGGCAGAGGGAGAGGGAGAAGTAGGCTCTCTGCTGAGCAGGGACCCCGATGTGGGACTCGATTCCAGGACCCTGGGATTATGACCTGAGCCAAAGGCAAATGCTTAACTGACTGAGTCACCCACATGCCCCTGTTCTTATTCTGTTTTAAAAAAAAAAGGAAGGGGAGGTTTCAAAACAGAGTGTCTAGGCAAATAAGATCCAGTATCAGTACCTAATAAATGTTTCTTTTTAAAAAAATATTTATTTATTTGAAAGAGAGAGCACACACATGAGCAGGGAGATGTGCAGAAGGAGAGGGAGAGAGAAGCCCACGTAGACTCCCCGCTGAGCGCAGAGCCTGACTCGGGAGCTCAATCCCATGACCTGAAATCACGACCTCAGCTGAAATCAAGAGTTGACCACTTAACCCACCAAGTAACACAGGCACGCCTCTAATAAATGTTTCTACATAAATTATGCTTAAGATATAATTAACAACTAGATAAAGAAAGTACATTAACCACTTAAGATAGTGTTACTTGGAATCATCCAAAAGTAAAACCAATATTCTGCACCATGATTGTCCTGGAGCATTGTACAATCCTAAGGAAAAAAAAAATGCTATTACCTAAATCTTGGCAGAGAAGCATGCCTTAAAATATAAAGCATAGCTATTTTAAGCTCTAATAATTCTGTCTTTTGTAAATCTTCTCTCTTTTTGCTCATGGAAAATGTTTCACTGATACAATGTCCCCCTCCCCCTCCCCCTTGCCCCTGAACAAAGCACCTACCTCAGCATTATGTGCCCAACAGGCATCCAATAAATATTAATTGATGGTGATAATAGCATCACCCATGAGAGAGACAGAAAGTAGTATTTATTATCCTACTTTACAAGTGAGAAAATTGACACACAGAGATGAAATGACTCACTCAAGGTCACATAGTAAGTCATTGGCAGAGCTGGAAATAAAATGCAAGTAGTACAGAAGGGCATGCTATTATCCTCTCTGCTTGCGAAATTCCTCCTCCCTTTTTCATTCTGCCTGATCAACCTTGAAAGTTAGTGAGAGCAAGATCACAGTTTGTGTTTGTAAGCCTCTATAATACTGCT